CACAAGTACGCAACAATGTCTATGCAATCATACAAAAGGTAAGTCAGGCAACAAGGCTTACGAAAGGGCAAGAGCGAGACACAACTAGTGTGTGCACAATATACATACCTATGGGATGTTTATGAGGAGCCGAAGGCAGGCGGGTGGAGCTAGACATTAGTAGCTACAGCCGTCTTGGCATGACTCACAAACATCAGATCCCAAGGGGCATGTTGCAGAACTGGTACGTTGTAGCGGGTGATAAAGGGGGGATGCAGACGCGGCGTCGAGAGATGGGGGTTTTGCAAGAGATGGTTCAGGGCAGGGCTAGCACAATGACAGGCCGTTGATTGAGTTGTAACCTAAAATACGCGTCATCGATGAGCAAGATTGAAAAGTATCAGTAGGGAGTACACGTAGAAAGAAGGCAGGGTGGGGATCGTGAAGGGAATGTCACCACACCGGGCAGACGCTCACAATGGCTGCATGCCCATGCTCCGGCGCACGGGGCATCTGGTCGGTTTTGCTGTGGACGCTGTCGCGATCGTCCACAGCAACGACACCATCTGACTGAATACAACGCTGCTGAGTTGCCGCGCACTCACCCGCTTTGCCTGCATCGGCACTTCGGCGCCGTGTTCTACAAATAGTAGGCTGCAACCTGACCTGCCGCCCCATGCCGCCGCTCATGGCGGCGGCGAGGGATGCACAGACGAGGAGGCAGAGAGAGCCGAGGCGGAAAGGAGGATGGAGGAGGATGAGGAGCGCGTTCGGGAGAGAGATTGGGGAGATGTTAGTAAGGAGTGCCGAGGAGGCGGCTGTGATGCAGCGGAGCGCTTTGCATAGTCTCGACGTATACGCACTTTCTCTGGTGACGATTGAGTGGTATAAAGTAAAAGGACAAGATGAATACCTACCTACCATTGTCGGGATCCATGCGCGCAGATGTTCAATGGCCGGAGTCTGTCGGACGAGATGGGAGTTGGCCAGCATTAGTAGGCGCTTGTGGTTTCCGGAAAGGGTAGGCCAGTTTCGGACGCCGTGGCCATGCAAGACCATGGTTTGATACATTTGCTGATGTACAGTGTGGTCTGCAACTCATTGCTTCCTCCGTCGTGCATCAGTCTCGACTTCATCGCGCCATCCACTGTCATTGATCATTGATAGGTTCGCATAGCAGTGCTCAACCCTGATATCATTCTGCACGTTACGGCGGTGGCCCCATTCCCAACCGCTACCTCTCTGATTGCTAACATATGCTCGGAGCCACCGTTGACATCAGCACTGAGGGAGACCTTGTTCACCTCATGCAGTTACTTTCCCCACACGATCGCCAACGCTGCATATATGTACAAAGTCCCATTTTCTCTGTGTAATTCTTACCTCAGCCCCCGGGGCCCGCGTCACAGCTCATGACTCTTGTGCCCCTTCTCACGGGGCTCTTTCCGGACTTTCCTCCCGTGAAGACGCTATCCCGCTGACGATGACCGGGTGCTCACAACACTACGACCATTGGAGAGCCCTATCGTGATTTTGGAGATCGGCTGCTACTATTTCGTGCGGCACCCATTCCATGTCATGGAACTCCTCCATCTCGCATATGGCGCTCAAGTGTATGACTTCCATGGGCAGAGGCTGAAAAACGAGGTGAGGAGACAATAGTGCTGTTGGAGTTAATCATGTTGGTGGGATGCTTCGCTTGGAAATGTGGCACAAAATGTCTTCGCCGCCCCTGACGACGGGCAGCACGTCACTTCGTGAGTGGCCCTCCTGTGAGCTCACTGCCAAGCTCAAAACAACGGAGTCTGCATGCATGGTACCTCAGACATGGGTATACGCAACGAAACCGGCACATCAGATTCTTCGGCTGAAACAAAACGGGTGACGTTCAAAAGACTGACCATGGCGATGGTGATTGGCAATTGGTGAAAGGGGCAGGCGCACCCCAATGAGTTTTATGCTGAGCACAAGTACAGATTAGGTAGACACAAGGCGATGTGCGTGGTGCTAAGAGTGAGTCATGAGATGCGTGAAATAGATACCGCTCTACTAGTGTCATGGATACAGGTCAGAAATGGGCGGGCACTAGCAACACAGGAGGTGGAAGGATGGGTGGGATGGGATGCACGAGAGATGGACGAGAGCGAAGGGGCTAGCTGTGGCAAGAAGCATAAATAGAAAAAAACACAACACATCTGCGTCCTTGGGCAAGCGCTATGGTGACTTCGACAACCGCAACGGCGACGACGAAGTGATCTCGTGTCTCAACAACGATTCCTCAGGGATCTGTCCCGTCTCCGACCCACGCGTCTTCGGACGACGCAGCGTCCGCGATATCGAGAAGCCGTGCATTAATGAGGTCGGGTTCCGTCTCCTCTTCTTCTGTGCGGGCGCCGCATTTACGGATCTCTGTGACAAATGGCTCTGTATCCGCTGGATCGCAACTCCGTTTTCTTCAGCAGCGAAGTCAAAGCCGCGATTAACTTCCCGGAGGCCCGTTGACATGTCGGTACGGCTGCCGTTGTAGAGCGCAGGTCGACGGAGGCTGGCCCTGCGGCTAGCTGGGCGCTTGACTCGAGCGAGACCACCATTCCTGTCCTTCGAGAAGTCGTGGTTTGGGTCGAGCTTGGCAATCCATCGGGCACGATCTAGATCACTCGGGAAGAACGAAAACTTGTAGGCTTTGTAGATGTATCGGGGGAGGCACGCCAGGATAACCACCAGGATGATCGAAAACCAGAAGTATGCCGAAGGGAAGAGGTAATGATCGTTGCCGTAGATAGGTGTAGTGAACCACCCGGGAGAAATTATCGAATAAATAGCCTGGAGAGCCTGTCAGTCTCCTATACTGGCCGCAATCTTCATAGCGACTTACAGTGTAGGCCCAGATGAGAACGATACCCAGGGCAACAGCAAAGAAAATCCAGCCAGTCCATACGTGTGTGTTCAGTCCGTTGAAAAGATCGGCCGCCATTACAGCTGCGATAGCCAACGTCTGAATGCCGACATGAGTTACAGGTGGGGATGAAGTCATACTGAAAGGGGCTTACAGTGGCAAATTCGTACTGGTATACGTCGTAACCATCAGTGCGAGAGGTAGTGGTGTTGTAGGTGTAAAGGATGAGGAAGAAGATGATAGCAGACTATGATCCTACACGTCAGTCATACCGCAGATCCTACGTGAAGCTATACCCACCTGCAGAACTCCATCGAACATGTAGACGAGGAACAGTTTGGTGCCGAAGTACTCGTGATTCTTGCTATGGCGATACAGCTCGGGCAACGCCATGAGTACATGATCATCTTAGGCCGTTGGGTCAGCACGAAGACTTGCGTCAGCGGTATCTTGTGAGACTTACCAACAATGCGGTCGAAAAGACCGATACCAATAACTGGAGCGATGGTCCAGAAAGTATTCCAAAACAACAAGTAGGTGTACTCAAAGACGCTGGGAAAAGGACGTCAGTGTCTACAAGACGGAGAGACAGCGCATAACTCACTATTGACTGCTCCAACCACAATAGATCTGGAACCACCAAAGCACACCGATACAGATGATGTTCTTGTAGAAGAAGTTGACAATCCTGCCACGAAGTCCCTAGTTAGTGATACCTCATAAATCACGTCGCACAATGTCAACGCACATGTTACCATTGCGGGCGTACGACCAGTGCCCGTGCACGAGCAACAATCGCTTCAAGAATCGGAACTGCGTTATCGTGTGAGCGAACATTTCCGGCACGCTCGTCATCGTCCCACATACCTGCGCGATGGCATAGTCGGACGAGTTCACAGCCTGGAGACCCTCCTCGCCCGCGATGCCAACTCCAACGTCTGCAGCTTGGATCATGCTGACGTCGTTCGCACCGTCGCCGATGGCAAGGGTCATAGCACCAACACCGTCCTTGACGAGCTTGACGACGAGAGCCTTCTGTAACGGAGAGACACGACAGCAAATGACGCCCTCGCACTGCATCGCGAGCCGCAGCAGCAAGTGCTTGTGCTTCTCATCCCCCAATGCCTATAAGAGCATAGATCGTATCAGTCGGCACATCTCAGACCAGTGCGCCAGAAAGACGTACATGCGTCAGTGCAGCTCCATCAATAACAAGCACGAAGCCGCCAGGTCTGTCGCCGTTGTGATGTCCGACAATGTCAGACATGCCGGTCATGATGCGTTGGAGCGGGTAGCCATTCGAGTCACGCGGCAGTTCGTTGACAGCTACGCCGTCCTCTTGCAGAATGCCGCTCTCAGGGAAGAACTGCTCGACGGCGTTGAGCATCTGCGCATAGACGGGAACGGAGCCTTCGCCTCCGCCGCGGATAACAATGATGTTGTCCTCGCGGCCTATGAGATTCGTACTGTGGCCGATAGCTGAATACGAGTGCAGTGTCAATACCAGCCCTCATAGCGTCAATACGAGACGCAAGGTGCGCACCAATAGCAGTCTCCAGCTTGTCGCCAGTGAGCACCCAGATCTTGATGTCTGCTTCCTTGAGGTCAGCAATGGCCTCTGGGACGCCGTCCTGTAGTCGATCCTCGATAGCCGTAGCACCCAGCAGACGCAAGCCCTGCTCGATCTCCTCCGAGACAGCCTCGATCTCCTCCTCCCGCTCTTCCAGGGAGACGGACGCCGCATGGTAGCGCTGTGCCCAAGCCTCGTATTCATCCTCTGCGCGCACCGATCAGCCGACACTCCACGTCCGCGCAAACCGTGCACACTCACCCGGTACGACCCTATAGGCCAAAGTGAGCGTCCGCAGCCCCTCGCTCGCAAACTCGGCCAGATGGTCCTCCGTCGTCCGCACGAACGCGTCCTGGCCCGGGCTCAGCCGCTCGATGATCACGTTGTCCGCGCCCTTGCACAGCACGTACACCTTCCCGTCGCCCTCCTTCCCCCCAGCCCCGCCCTCCTCGTCCGCGATCTTCCGCACGATCACGCTCATCCGCTTCCGCGCGCTCGTGAAGTCCAGGATGTTCAGCAGCTCGAACCGCTCGTACTTGCCCTCGCGCGCGAACGGCGTCTGCAGCGTCAGCACCTCGCGGTCGCGCCCTCGGAACACGAACCCGACGTCCGCCGCGGCCTGCACGAGCGCGGCCTCGTCCGGGCTCTGCGCCTTATACTGGATCGCGCCCGTGTGCGGGTCGACGGAGACGAGCGCGGTGTGGCAGAGCGCGAGGACGGTCCAGAAGCCGTTGAGCGTGCGCCCGTGCGCGTCCTCCTGGGTGCCGGACACCGCGCTCTGCGCCGCTGTGATGTCGGCCGCGAGACCGGCATCGCTGAAGTGAGTGAGGACGTGCTCCGCCTTGGCTACCTTGTCGGCGGCCAGAGGATTCGGTGTCTCGGTGGTGGACGACACGGAGGACTTCGTCGACTTCTTCGCCACCAACGACGGGCTGGACCTAGGAGCTTCATGGGAGTTATCGCGTTCGTCGCTAGGTACTGCGGCGACACGTAGATCGTCCTTGGAGGCTTCCGGCTCGTCCACCTTCTCGCCACTGTAGACGCGGCCACCAATAGTGCATTGGCGGAAGATCATCGCGTTCTGCGTAAGCGTGCCCGTCTTGTCCGAAAAGATGTATTCGATTTGGCCAAGGTCGTCAGACAAGTTCCAGCTGCGCGCGAGCGTCGGCTGGTTGGTCTTCTCGTAGAGTATCTCGCGATCAAAGTAGATGAACAGAGCCTGACATGTCCGGACACCCTCGATGGAGATGTACAGCGAGATGGGGATGATGTTCTGGAAGGTGATGAGCGCGTAAATGGCAGTGATCAGACCGTTTATCTTCGGGTTGTCGTCGCCATGCGTGTCTCCGTATAGCCAGGGAGCACCTCGTGGGAAGTTGCGTTGCTCCAGCACGGAATCGACAATACCGCATACGACGGCCATGACGGCAAGTAGGATAAGGTTGATAAATCTGGATAGCATGTGAGCATGGATGGACGGCGGACTGGTAGTAACCCAAAGCAGACAGACGGGGCACGTACACCTGCGGATTCATCTGTCGTTCCACCCTGCTGCGCTTACTCGGGGTCACACCAGAGTTGAGCACGATCTTGGTGTCCTCGCCGGTATACAGGACGACACCAATGACCCAGCGAGTATTACGGAGGACCGTACCCCTGAGAAGGATCATGTTTGTATCGACCGCGTGCTTCGCCCCATCTGAAGTGACCACAGTCGCGTTCATCTTGTACAGATTGGTGTCCGGGCGGTCGCAATCGACATGGAAGGCGTTCTGCTTACTCGCACACGAGCGCGCCGAGTCGAGATGGGTGAGGGAGGGACACGCGCTCCGGCTCTTGAGGTTGGTCTCGCCGTCCAAGTTCTTCGTCTCGACGTATGCGACGTTCTCCTCCTCCGAGGTCGAGCATATAAGGATGTCCGCGGGGAACGATTCGTCCTCCTTGATCTTGACAATGTCGCCCACGCGCACGTCCTCCCAGATGGTCATCTTCCAATGTGGCCGTGATGACCGTCCGTGGTGATGGAACACAGTGCCAACCTCCTCTACGGGCTCCCCGTCCTCTACGTCGGTGTCATTCGCGACAGTGGCTGTCGGTATTGTCGTGAGTTCTCCACCGTCGGTGTGGATGGCCTCCGGGGGGGCGCCATGCTGGGTATTCTCGACGTCCTGGTCATGCTGACCCTTCCTATGCCGTTTCCTTGAGATGGGGACGAGCGCGCGGACGAAGGTCTTCGACTTCTCCGCCATGGCATTCTCGTTCCTGAATTCCCCGCCTGCCAAGACGCGCACCTGGGAGTAGTTGACAGCCCGGTCCGACTGATGCCGCTTAATGTCCTCATAGCCATCCTTGAGGGCAGTAATCGCAAGGACGATAAGGAGGGGGAGGATGACGAGGCCGGGGGAGACGGTGGAGAAGATGGAGAAGAACTGGAGGATGGCGATGGCTAGGAAGAAGATGTTCGCTATTCGGCGGAACTGTTCCAAGAGGTTGCGGGGGAGGAAGGTGATCACTGTGTACTTGGAAGTGATCACTTGGTTCGAGGCATAGACATGCTGTTTCAGGACCTTGTGCTTTTTCTTGGGGTCGAAATAGTCGTCGGGAAGGGGGCTGTTGACGTAGACGGTACGGGGCGGGCCTGGCTCCCTGCGTCTGGCGAAGATTGTCTCGACATTGAAGTCGGCGAACTTGGTGTACCACTCGCCGAGCTTGGACGGCATGGCCGCGGACGGTGTGGTGAAGAGCAAGGAGGACGAGCTCAAGCGTCAGTCGAGCGCGAAGCTCTTGCGAGCGGGAGATGACGGAGGGTCGGCACGGTTGCGGACAGTCAGCGGACGGGAGAGGGGAGACGGTACAGAGCTGACAGGGCTACAAGCCTAAGCGGGGGTGTGTCATCATCACCCGCCCGCACGCCCGAATATCCGACCGGGGCGCACCCTTGCTGGTCCGATCCAATATGCTCTTCATCCATCCTCAGGACTGCGAACAGTTCTAAGTACTCAGGCCTGTGCTCCCGTGCACTCGCTGCACGTCGCTGACGATTCTGGAGGTCGGCTCACCGCACCCGGCCCTCTCGGTCGTCGGCGGAGCCGAGGCGACGTCATCCAATACCCGAGTCAGCCGCAGGCGCTTTCCTCGAGGCGGAGTTCGCGTGGGTGTCTTCTGCAGCGGGCGCAGTACGTGAGGCTCGCGACTGGCAAAGCAGGACAGACGAGCAGCGGAGGGGTGGACGTCGTAGGTGAAGCCGAGTGCCAGTCAGTGGTCGCCTTCTGGCCTATATGCGCCCCCAGCAAATGAAATTCTCCGCCATGGAGCAGCCGTTGCAACCGAAGGTGGTGCTTCGCATCTGTAACACGAATCGCGATCCCATTGAGGCTAATACACTTCCCCGCAAGTCGTATGTACACCTTAACTAACCAATAGGGCATCAAAGAAGGTCATTTCTAGTGGCTGTTAGGCAGACGCCACGACAGCTACAGACCTTGTCGTCCCCCACAATAGTCTGCCACCGCGTTGCTTTCATGTATTGTATGTATCACATGTCGAGTTGTGCCCGCGATCACCCACCATAGACGAATCGACTTCGCGCCGCCTTCATCCGCCATTCGTTCAATAGTGGATGACTTTCCATAAGCTATCTACGGCTCTACGGACGTCCGTAAATCTCTAAACAGATCGATTTGGGCAAGGGGCAGTGTTGCCGACACCAGATCTGAACTCCGCTGATGAAATTTAGGATACGGACGTCAAAATCTAGGAGGGGGGTCCGACCCCCCTTTCTAAATCTCTAACAGGCCGTAGACAGTCCGTAGACCTCGGCATACGGTGCCGTGACCACGAGAAAGGAAGGAGCCATCATGACAAAGCGAACTGCATGCCAAATACAGACATGACATAAGCCACTCCAGTCACGTGCTGATGATGAGCAGAACATGCCGCCTGTTTAGCGCCCAAGATCCACAGACTGTTTCAAACCCCGCCTAGAAATCTACGGACGTCCGTAGAGCCGTAAATCCTT